ATTAAAGAATAATTTTTGTTCAAGTTAATCGTTGATCGAATCAACTTGTTTAAATATATATTTAGTAGGAGAGAATCGAGAGATTTTCTCTACGGCTTGTTCAAACGTAACACTGTGACATAGTTTTTATCGACCAATTTTGAGGTACTTAACGTGCTCAGAATGATTTCATTTTTATAAGTATTCGTATTTTCTGTATAATTAATCGTTCTACGCAAGAACGAGATCGATATATCGTCATGGATGAAGCTCACAAGAGACGTAATAAGTTAGAAACTGTATAAGAGTCTACAAATTTTCCTTAGCCACAAACGTCAAAACTAAATAGATTAACTTGTAGAGAATGAAATTCTGCATCGAAAGGTATGTTTCTCGATTTTGTTTAGAAAAACTTCTAGGTTATAGAACCCAAAATGCGGTTTTTAAAAAAGTTTAAAACCCGGTTTTCAATGCCAAAATCTAATTTTTGTACAAAATAAATGTCAAATTCGTAATCAGCGTTCAAAACTGCATCTAGATACTCATTCAGATCTAGCCAACTCGAAAAAGAATTTTTTCGAAACTTAATCAGTGAAGTGTCGCGTTACGTAGACAAGCAGTCTAATAGTTAACAATCATGATGATTAATGTAATTATTCTATAATTACATTAAGATATTTGCAAAGAGTAAGAAGAGATTCGAAACTTTCCATAGGAAATGAAACAATAAAATACGTTCTAGATTTTTATATATTTGTTAATAGGCTAAAGAAAAACGTTTAAACGGTAAAAAAAAACAATCCCTTCGAAAAGAACTTGTAAATTATAAATCCAGAACAATTGAAATTCATTTAAATCGAGATTCAAAATCGAATTTATATTCATCATCAAATCTAGATATAATTCATCAATTAAATTGTCGATATAATCAAATAGGTGATAGTTTATCAAATCGAACAGGAGCATCATTATCTCCATCAATAGGTGATGCACAAGCTGCTAGTCCTGAACAATCTTATATATTAGATTTAATACATACAACAAATGCTCATCTTGATAATATGGATATTATTCAACATTGTTCATCATTTTATTGTGATCAAGATAATAGTTCTATTCTATGTAATATATCGATTAATAAACAACCAAATAAATCAAATTATTTAGATTTTCAAAATACAGAAAAATATCTTGAAGAAAATCAATGTGATTGTTATCGTCAATATATTGAAAATGAAAAATTAACTATTAATGAAGAACAAGATGATGATAATAAACTAAAAAGAAAGTCGAAAATGTCAATATATATGAATAAATATATATGGTCTTATTGGAATAAATTTCAAAAATCTGTATCAAATTTTGTTGCAGAAAAATATTTTCATCGTATTGTATTATCAGCTATTGTTATAAATACATTATCAATGGGTATTGAATATCATGAACAACCTCAATCATTAACAAATGCATTAGAATATTGCAATTTAGTATTTACATCATTATTTTTGCTATTGAAATGATTTTAAAAATAATTGCTGATGGCTGTCTTTAATATATTAAAAATGCTTATAATCCATTTGATAGTGCTATTATTATCATAAGTCTTATTGAATTACAAGAAAATAAAAATAGTGGATTATCAGTTTTACGTACATTTAGATTATTACGCGTACTTAAACTTGTCAGACTTATGTCAACACTTAGACGACAATTGGTAATCAACCTTTTCTTTTTTTTTTGTTCTTCTCTTTTCTTTTATTTTTTTTCATTCGAATTACTTATCGATTCATTGATAACTATCTTTAGTAGAAATGTTATATTCAACTAATCGATTCTATTTTATTTTTGTTTTAACTCTTATTACATTCGACAGGTATCTGATTTGAGTATACTTATTTCCATGTTGATGATGGCTGATTGCATAACTATATCCAATAATTTTGAAAGAATTTTCTAAATGTTTAAAAGTGCATAAAAGACAGAAAATGATTGTTTAAGAAAGGATTTTCATATATAAATTTATGTTAATCTCAATTTTAGAAAAAGTTTCAATAGATAAATCTAATTGATTTTGTTTTTCGCTATAGATTGTCATGCTTAAAACAATGGATAATATGACTACATTTTTTCTCTTTATTACTTCTATTTATATTCATATTCAGGTAAGTTTAGAAGAAAAAAAACGAAACACAATAAATGTGTTTAGATATTTGAATAAAAATAAAACTCTTCTACAATATATTGGGTATGAATCTTTTTGATTGCAAATATATTGAAGTAAAACATAGCAAACGTCTTGAATCTATGGGTTATTTCAGCTGTTTTTCAAGTAAAATTTACTTCATTTTTTAATTGTTCATGCTTTTCTAAAAGAAAAAAATGCTAAAGTTAAATTGTTGTTCTGCTTCTTAATGTTGTTATTGATAAATGTGTCTATATAGCATTCTTGGTATGCATTTATTTGGTGGTGAATTTTGTTCAATAGAAGCATTTAATATAACATCACATAAAGAAATTCATATTAAATGTAAATGTTGTACATGTTATCAAAATGATTTTTTTTTTAAATGCTATTCATCTCAAAGATTTTTATTGTTTACAACCGAGAAAAAAATTTGATTCATTAGCTTTTGCATTATTAACCTTTTTTTCAGGTAGCTTTTCTCGAATACTATCCTACATTAGACATTACTCCCTTGAACGATATTAACACTATTTTACCTCACAAACCAAATTTAACCTATTTAGCAGCCTAATTAGAAAATTTTCAAAGGTGTTTCACCATTTCTTTTTTTTTCTAAATAGTTAATAAGAAAGAAAGAAAAAAGCAACAAAACGATGGAACTTCACCGAAGACAATGATAGAGAACGATCTTCTTCGATAAATTCTCAGTGGAAACAATCTTGCATCTCTTATCTTGTTTGCTCACTTTATATATATGGATAGTCATTGCTTAAATTTTTGCACTATATACCTATTGTTATATGTCTTCTTGCTTAAAACACAGCTAATCATATAAGATAATAATTCGCAAAACATATTTTTTAAATAGGTTTTAACTCAAGAAGATTAAAATGAAGTACTTTATAATGGCATGGAAAATACAAGTGTATGAACAGTTTTGTAATTTATTGCATTCATGACATTTGGAAATTATGTTTTATTTAATTTACTTGTTGCTATTCTTGTTGAAGGATTTTCTACAGAAGTAAACGAGAAAAAAGAAAAGAAATAAAATATTTTCTTTTCTATTCATTAAATTGTTGAATTAAATAGAAAATGGGTAATAATTTTGATATTGGAAGTAATTCAAATTGATATGGAAAAGTTGATCCATTCAAAGTTAGAAGAATTATTTACAAGTGATATTGATATAACTGATAATTCACATGATTTAATTAGTGATGAAACAGAAAGTCATAAAACAAATAAGTCAAGATAATAAAAATACTCGAACTAAAGGCAATTAAATAAATTAAATTTAAATTAAAAAAAAAATAGTTCAATATTATTTCAAGAAGTAAAAATAATGAGTATACTAAAAAAAATTGCAATAAGTAATAAAAATGATTCAAGCTTACGTGTTGTTGAAAATCAATTAAATAAAAGTTCAAATTCAAATTCAAATAATTCATCACCATATAAATCAATAATTAAAATTCGTTCATCTCAACTTCAATCATTATCATCATCAACAACACAAAGTTTTCATACATGTATTGAATCAATGGATAAATAATCTTTAGAAACTTCATTACCTACTCATAGAAATTATATGCAATCAACACTTAAAAATAATTCATTTACAACTATTTGTTATCCAAATCATTGAACATATTATTAACATAAACAAACGAATTCATGAAATCCATATCAACCATCATTAACAAGACTTTTTATTATTAAAGATAGAAAATTAATTAAACAAGATAAATATAAAATTGAGAAAATCAAAAAAAAACGTCGATTAACATTTGATTATTTAAATAGTTGTTTAAATCAATTTGAAACAACAAGTATTTATGAAACATCTAAACATGATTTTTATCAATATTCAGATAAAACATTTCGATTAGTTAATGAATACTAATAATAATCAAACTCTATTTCAAGTTAGTATTACACATCTATATAACAATTTTCTTTTTTTCATTTTATGTATTTAATTATTTATTAATCAACTATTTCAATTTTATTTTTCTTTTCAAATTTAATTATTTAGAAAAACAAATTGGATTTATTCTCGAAAGGTTTTTTAAAAATATTCAATAATATATAGTAGTAGTTTTGAATTAACTAATCAAGATTAATTGCTAATTATATTAATTAATGAGGAAAGATTACAAAATGGAACTATTGAAAATATGTTGTAGATTTATATACTAAGGGTGACCCCAGAGATGTGCACGAATCGGTTCGATTTCGAGAAAACACGAACCGAGCCCATCGAAAAACAGTTTTTCAATGTATTTCTCAGCTTACTTTAAATTTCAGTTAAGTTCATTTTTCGAAAAATCCGACCGTGCCCATTTCTGGGTGACCCCAAAAATTCCCAGAACTTCGGTGTATTCATTTACGAAAAAGGTTTAGATATTCTTTCGAAGTAAGTAATAGATATTGAATTGACCTCGTTGGTTATAATCCTTGCTAAATTATTGTAGCTGTTGACTATCTAGTCTATCAGGAATGTATCTCAACAGCTAAGAGCCTGAAAGTCTAGTCTAAGATGACTACGCTTGTCAAATCTTACCTTCATTTCTCTCAGTTTTAAGTAAATAATAGCATTATGTTACATGCTGCTCAAAAACACTGATGAAAAGTGATCGAACTTGATTATGATGATATGTTTTTGTTCGATAACTTTTACATTTGTCAATTTTCATGAAATAATTGACATATATTATTGTTTTTGATATTCTTAATAATAAATGTCACTTGAAGGACTATAGTTTCTCTCGTTGAACTAACCTTCGATAGTGATTCTCATCCAATATTGCGATGGCGCATCAATATCTGATAACTGCTAACCGTATCATATAAAATCTGTTCGCCACTTAGAAACTTCTTCGAATTTTTGAGAACTCAAAAACTTGTTGAAATTCAAATAATAACCAAGGTGGCTAATTCAATACCTATTGTTTATTTCGAAAGAATATCTAAAGAGTAAGTTAAAAGGATAAAACCTCCTATGGAATATCACAGCAATTATCTCGAGTATATGACATAGAAAGATGGATCGAATATCGTTTCCCCAAATAGATATACCGAGTTTTCACAAACTTTTGGATCGCCCTTAATATATTAAGAAAACAATGAATCTATCCATAAGAAAAATACTCAAAGATATTCATCATCAAATTGAGTCATTTTAGTTTTTTTTAAAACTATTTATCGAAATTTTTTGCAGATATTTCTTGAAAAAACTTAGTCAACAATAACTCCTAATCAATGTTGAAATTGATATTCTTTTTCGAACAACTATTCTATTGATAATATCTTTTGAAATAAAGTTGCTAATATTGATTGACGATAATATTAAACTCATCCTATTTCATCTAAATATTTATCACTAAATATGAATATTTGTAGAGATGGACTTCGAAAGAAATTTTAATTCGAAGATTATGTTTAAATTGTTTATGTGAAGAACAATTATATAAACATTTTGAAAAACGAGAAAATTATTCACTTTATACTTTTTTTTTCATCAGAAAATCGGTAATCAATTTAGTAGTAAAACAATACGAAAATCGATATTTTTTTTTTGATTATTTAATATTATTTATAATAGCTCTTAATTGTATAATACTTGCTATGGAACATCCATCGATTTCAAAAACAAGTCCTGTATGGAAACAAACGTTTTTTTTTGTTTCTTTTCATTAAACAAAAAAACAAAGAAAATATTAAAATAAATATTTTGTTTTGTAGGAACGACAATTTTTAAATTTCACAAATATAATATTTACAATAGAAATGCCGGCAAAAGTAATAGCAAGTGAACTTATATTTGGATTGCATGCCTATTTACGTTAGTGGATGGAATCTTATGGATGGTTTTCTTGTTATTACATCAATTATTGATCTTGCTACATTTTTAATTTGAATATTTGTTTATTTATAGTTATTAGTCGAGTACCTGGTCTTAAACTTGTTGTACAAACATTACTTTCATCATTACGACTAATTGGTTATATTGTTGTTATATGTTGTACGTTTTTTTTTTATTATATTTAGTATACTTGGTGTACAGATAAATACTATTATTAAATTTTTTTTCTTTTGTATAGATCATAATCAATTCTATATTTTGTGTAAAACAAAAAAGATTCGATTTATTAAAAATAAAATTTCGATTAATTGTCAAAGGAACTTGAAAATAGTTTCGTTGATGTCAATTTTGTCTTTTATTAAATATTCTCTTGATATTAAATGAATAATAAACTATTAATTATTATAGAAAGTACAAAAATGACCCATATAAATGTAGTGATGTTGGACATTTTCTATCACTATTAATTTTTTATATATGATCAATAGGTAAATAAGTTATGTCATAAGACAAGCTGATCGAATATGTTTTAATTTTAATCATAGAAAAGTATTAGTTTGTAAATAGATATGAAAAGAAATGAATAAATTTCTGACCGACTTTAGCTGAATCTCTTGAAAGTATAAACAATTTGTGTTGAATGTCCGATTAATAACAAAAATGAGAAGAGATTCGATATCAATAACTAAATAAATTTAATAGTTTTATTTAAAATCTAAGTAGTTTTATCAAATTTCAAAATGAAAATCAGAAGAAAATCTTAATTTGAAAGTCAATAATAATATTGATTCTCTATATCGAAAATTTTCAAAATAATTTCTCATTGATTTAAATATATTGCTAGTAACTGTGTTGAGCTTTTATATTGATTATAATAATGATAAGAGATTAATATATTATCTTTTTTTTTTAGTTATTCAAAGGAAAATTTTATTATTGTGAAGGTCTATTTACTCGTAATATAACAACACGACAACAATGTGAATCATTGTCTGATTATTGTTGGAAAAATCAACAATATAATTTTGATAATTTAGTTCAAGTATGTTTTATTGAACAAATCTATATCAATATATATAACTAAAAGCATTATTATCATTATTTGTATTATCATCTCGAGATAGTTGGATATACATAACGTATAATGATATTGATGCTGTTGATATGCAACCAATAAGAAATTATAATCAAGCTAAATTAGTTTATTTTATATCATTTTTATTACTTATTAGTTTTTTTGTAATAAATATGTTTGTTAGTGTCGTTGTTGAAAATTTTCATAAATGTCGTGCTGAATAAGAACGTGAAGAAAAAGCTCGACGTACAGCTAAATATGCAAAAAAAGACGTCATATGCGTGAAACACTATATTATGCACATTTTTCACTATGGAGAAGACGTTTGCATAATATTTGTAATAGTAAATATTTTGATTTAATTATTGTTGCTGTTATTGGTCTTAATGTTGTTACTATATCACTAAAATTTTATTTAATCCCACCGGTATTCTTTTGTTTTTCTTTATTATTTATTTTCATTTATTAAATATTCTATAGGCCTTTGATTTAGTTCTTGATTATTGTAATTATGTATTCATAACTTTGAATCAATATCAAAGATTATTGCTCTTGGACCATTACGTTATTTTAAAAACAAGCATTTTATTAAAAAAAAACAAAGAAAGATATTTTTATTATTTGTTTTATTTATGTAAAGATGGAATCAACTTGATATAAAAATAGTTATATTATCAATAGCTGAAATTGTTTTAGAAAAAATGAATAGTGTACATATACTTCCTATTAATCCAACTCTTATACGTGTTATGAGAGTACTCAGAATTGCATGAGGTTAGTTTTTTTAAATTTTACATTTTACTGTATGATTTATTCAGATAATTTAGCTATTTAACAGATTCTTTTTCTATTTAAGATAGTAACATAAATTAGAGAAGATTTCATCATTCCTCTTACATTCTATTTGATCAAATTTTGAAAATTTCCTACTCTTTCGAGGGGAAAACAGCGAATTTCAAGCATAGAGATTTCAAATTTTTAAAAGATTTTACAAGACTTCATCAGATGTCAAGGCTGAAGTTTCAGCTGTTTACCCCTTGAAGAAACCATAAAAGACATTTGACAAGTAAACAGTATATTATACTAAGTTTTTTATGTGTTTAACATTATTACAGATATGTGAAATAAATAGTTATGAAAAAATATAATGAATTATTGAAATTTGATGTCAAACATCTAAAATAAAGATTTGAGTTGAGAGAAAAAATTTATTTAAACATGGCAGAAATTTTTTGGTTATGAATTTTTGAAAAAAGAAACAAATATCTAAATGAAAAGTTGAATTAATTGTAGTACTTAAATTATTAAAAATGGCAAAAAGTATTCGAGCATTATTAGATACAGTTATTCAAGCTCTTCCACAAGTTGGAAATTTGGTAAAAAAAGAATATTATCTTATTAATTAATCTAATAATAATAATTTATTTGTTTCTATAAAGGGTCTTTTATTTATTTTTTCTTCTTTTCCTCATATTTACTGCACTTGGTGTTGAATTATTTGGAAAATTAGAATGTAGTGAAGAACGTTCATGTACTGAACTTGATAAACATGCACAATTTAAGGATTTTGGTATGGCTCTTTTAACATTATTTCGTATTGCAACTGATGATAATTGGAAAGGAATAATGAAAGTAACTCTTAGCCTTTTTCTTTAATTATTATTATTTATCTTTTGTAAAAATCTCTATATGATTTTCAATATAAAAGGATGCGTTACGTCAAGATGATTCTCCACATGGTGGAAAATATCATTTAATGACAGTATTAGCACCGATTTATTTTGTTATATTTGTTCCTGTTAATGTTGTTGCTGCTATTTTAATGAAGAAACTTGATGTAATTTAATTAAACAAAATAAACATTAACAAATTTTAAATATTTATTTTAATTTAGGAATCAAATCAAATAATGTCTGATGATACTGAAATAGATGAAGAAATTGAATGACAATTAGAAGCTGATGCTCACGATAAAGATTATCTCGAACAACCATTAATTGATGATAAGGAATTCGATGTATACATATACACATTTAGATTTAATTAAAACTTTTCTTTTTTTGCTTTTAGTTTCTCAATGATAATAAGATAAATTATTTTCCATTAACAAAGCAATTATCTTTACAATCCAATTTTACATTTCATCCAATGAGTTCAATAATGAAATGTTCAGAAAAAGATTTGTCTTACATATATCATAGTAATAAGTTAATGGTTGGTTTTCAAAGTGAAGATAAATGAGAAAAGAGTAATCTATTTGAGTGATTTCTACATTGATTAATAAATAGATTTGATTCGTTTCTTATGAAGAATTTCGAGTTTGAATGTGTCTAGTTGATGATACAATGTTTTATAAGCAATAAAATAAGTATTGAATTGCATAACTATACTCTGTTTAAACACGAACTTAACATGTAAACTCGATTAGATCATTTTCTCATATTAAGAATTTGAATATTATTTTCAATAGTATGTCAATATAATCAATTATTTTACAATAGAATTTTCAAGAATTTTTTCTAAAATTAATTTGTTTTATCATTTAAAATCTAATTCAAAATGGGTATTGGTATGGGTGTAGGTGTGTGGAAGTTGATATTCTCGTTGCTGACACCCATATTCGCAGTCTTTTTTCGTCTTTTCTTATCTTTCAAATTATTTTTTGTAGATCCACCATAAGAGTAGCTCTATCAACAATTAGTAAATCTGAAGATGATCTAATAAAATATTGTCAACATTTCTGTTCTAGTAATTTATTATTTAAAAAACGGTAAAAAAAAGAACATTTCCCATTGATAAATAGAAAGTTTATTCTAAAAAAAATAATTTTTTTAAAGCCTATTTAAAAGATTTTGTTCATGGTCGATCAGTTGATGAAGAAAGTGAACAACAAGATATAGATGATGATCTTTTCGGTAAACGTTTCGTATACATGGCAAACATTTTGCTCATAGTTAAAACATTATATGAATAACTCTTTAAAAATAAAAAAAGATCAAAAGACATTTAATTCTTGTACGTGTCATTCAAAGTAAAACAAAAATAAAGTCTTATTAAATAAGGAAAAAAGCCCTAATATGAATATGACTGACATCTAACTAAATGTTTATGTTTCTTGTTGGTGTCCTTTGACAACGTTGGGGTTTTAATAAGTAATGTGGAGTGCATATTCATGATATAAATTGAATAATCAAACAATTTTAGAAGAACATATTGATGAAAATGCTGAGCCAACTGATGAAGAAATTCATTCATGAATATGCTATATATATTGAAATTCATCCCGAGAAAGTAAATAAATATTAAGAGAAAAGATAAAAAAAAGACATAATTTTTAATAGGAAAACGATCTTCTTTGGTTGGCAAGAGAAGATGTTATGAAACCATCACCATCAGGTGGAATAGCGTGTCAAAAAGAAAATGGAGAATCATATGATTTTTATTTTAATACGGGAAAATCATCATGGAATCATCCATATGATGATATATATAAAACACGAGTTATTCAAGCACGGTAGGATGTTTTAAGAAAAAACTTCATTATTTCAATATAAAAAAATATCAATTAGAGAAAAGAAAACTTTATCATCCATTGTATTCGATACACTTTCAAAAGGTAATTCTTTGAATATTTATTTAAACAGGAAAAAATATATCAAGTCTAAGTGATTTATCAACTGGAAAAATCCTCCTAATTTACCTTTACAAACAAAAAATGATACAATTGATAATCAATTAGGTATAATAAAGTTACATTTTGACGATAAAAATAGATGCTTAAAAATTAATTTCTACAAATTAGATTCTCAAGATGTAAACAGTGATTCAAACGGTGAGTTATTTTTCGAACTGTCAAAATTTCCATTATATAAAATGAATAGTTATTAAAAAAAACTACAGTTAATTATTAGGTATTGATCGTGAAGAAAACGAATCAACAGCAGTTATTACTCCATATTCTCCAATGTCATTTACTATTAACACAGGTTATTTGTCTTTATATACAGTGTGATTCATCAATAACTAGACTATCTTTAAAGTTTTTATTCACAAGAAAACTGCCAAATAGATACTTTTGCGACTTAGCACTAAATAGTCGATTAGTATGCTCTAAATTTTATCAAGTTAAACAGCGTATAAGTTCTTTCAACAGGGTTCTATATTATCGAGCAAAAGAATACTTGTCCGATTGATAAAAGC